TTAAGGAATTTCATCAGCCAATCAGAAGTAGGTTTTTGAATGTTCAAATTTCATCAGCTATTGGAGGGTGAGTTGTGAAATTTCATTAGCCAATCATAAGTTAATTTGCAACTTTTTATTAGCCAATCAGAAATAAATTTTAATGGTCAATCAATTAATCAATTAAGTAAGTCGGTAATTAATTAGTTAATACTTTATAATTAATTAATTAATTTTTTATTAAATTAACAAATGTAATTATATTTTAATTGTTTTTTTTTTGCATTCTCCAGCGTTCCAGCCTGCATGATAGTTTGAAGGAAAGGTTTAGGCTGATGAAAAGCGAACTGGCATCTGTCTTGGATACTAACATACAAACTAAAAGTAAAATGATATTGATAATGATATTATTAGTCGTAAAGTAGTAGTAGTAGTAGCAGTAGTAGTTGTAGTAGTAGTAGTAGTAGTAGTAATAGTAGTAGTAGTACTAGTAGTAGTAGCAGTGGTAATAGTATTTTAACAATTCATTCAGCTAGCTAATCATATTCAATCAACTGATCATTCTACCAACCAACCACAAACCAGCTTTGGTCTCAGAACTGATAACAAAGACAGCAAAATTGAATGAAGAAAACAAAGAACTGATAGAGAGATGCACCGCAGAATCGAAAATGAGTGACGCACTCAGTTCATTTTACAAAGATCTCCAAACGAAATACAATAAGTTTGTTTGCCTTCATATTTCTTTGCCTTTATATTTTTCATTCGTTTATTTATTGGTACAGTTTGTTATTTATTCATTCATTCGTTCATTCAATTATTTATTCATTCATATGTCTATCTATTCATCCATTCATTCTTTCAATTAATTGTCACTGAAATTAGATTGATATCAAGCAGACCACCGGAGAGTGAAGCTAATAATGGTGCCAACACTACAAGGTTCCAACAAATTTCTGCGTATAAGTTAGTAGCATTTATTTAATCTCGTTTGCTTATTTTTAGTTTATGTTTGTATTGTTATTATTGTTTTTGTATAGTGATTATTTTTATTATTGTTGTTGTTGTCGCTATTCTTTCATTAGAAATCAGTTGGAAGAGCTTAAGAAAGAGATGAGAATGTTAAATGACGTCCAACAAACTGAGGTTAGTTGGATTGCCGGCTGGCTGGTTAGTTGGCTGGTTAGTTTGTCGGTTGATTGTTTGATTGGTTAGTTGGATGGTTATTTGATTGGTTGGTTGGCTGGTTGGTTGATTTTTTAATGAAATTTCGTTAATTACTTATCAATTTACTTTGATCTTCGCCCTCAGATGACCAAAATCGATCAGAAATGTAACGACCATTATGTTAGTCAATGCTTCTTAAATAATCGACCAATTATGCTTAATTATTGATAATCAATTACAATATTGTTTTATTTTATTATCTGTCATTGTTATACTACATAATACAATACGAGACGAAACGATTCAGTGCTTACGATACCCCAAAGTACCTTTAATATTATCCAATCATCCAGATACTATCATCGAAGCTGGAGAGAGAGGCCATTAGCTATAAAACAGAAGCTGACGAGCTGAGATACAAGTTTGGATATATTTAATTGTGTGTCGATGTGTGCGTGTGTATATATGTGTGTGTGCGCGTATGTATGTACGCGTGTGTATGAGTATGTGAGTGTGTGTGAAAATGATGACGATGAGACGACAATGAATATTTTTTATTCAGAATGGCGTTTTTAGCAAAAAGGGTTGAGCAGATCGAGGAGGACATGACTGGTTGGAGCCGTTTTTAAATTTATTATTATTATTTTCATTTTTTTATAATTTATCTGCCAAATTATTTCTTCTTGCATAATTTATAAAACTAATGAACTCTTGAGCAGAAAGCAAGTCGGAAGTTTCGATGGGCAGGTTTGTAATCTTTTTCCAAAAATAAATTTTAATTTTAGTGAGTGAGAAATTGTAGAATCTTAAAATTTATATTAATAACAAAATTATAGCCTGATAAATGTTTATAATTTAACTTTTTGATCGAAATGCAGTGAAGCTCTGGACAGAAGCAGAAGGCCTCCGGGACCTGCCCAGTTTCCACCGCATCCGTTTCCTCTGCCCCCTCCTCTCCCTCCTCATCTTCTCATGGAATTTGCCCGTCTACAGCGCGAGAGGCAAGAATCCGGTTCAAGGTTCGATCCGGGTCAGGTGAGGTCAGATCAGGGTCAAGGTTACGAGGCTGGCCTGAGAAGAGATCCTAATCAGAGTAGTAGATCTTCTCTCAATGACGGCGCGGCTGCTCCTCACGACAAACTGGATTCTGGGGACAGCGGAGGAAAAGTTTTTGTGCCGAAGTCTGGTTCTCAACCGGGTCTTCAACACGGTTATACTTCGCCACCCATGTCGCTACTGCAACAGAATAGACTCAATCAACAGTCCCCCTATCAACCGTATCCTGTACAACAACAGCAGCAGCAGCAGCAATTTCAACAGCAGCAGCAGCAGTTGAAGCAGCAGCCACCAACACAGCAACAACTGCATCAGTTAGCTGCATCTGAGAACAGGCATACTCCAGCACAACATCTCAACAACCAGCCACCTCCAACGATCAACAACAATCCTCCATACGTAAGAACTTCTCAAACAAACCTCAAGCTGGCAAATGCAGATCCCGGTGTTGTTATGACACCCCCACCAGCATCTCAACGGGGTATGTTGGGGCCTTCCTCTGGCCCACTCAACTCATCTACCCCGGCTAAAAATGGTTCCGGTAACGCATCGTTCTCTAGTTCGTTTAGGGAAAATTATCCCTAAAAAATATTGTGTTTGCTTGTTTGTGTGTGTTTGATTGTGTGTATGTAGAATGTTAGTGTTAATTTGATGTAGGATATTTATTTAACGTGTACATTACGGTTGATTACACTGTCGGCATTAAAAAAAAAGAAAAAAATTGATGGGATTAGGAATTTTCGTCAACGAATATTATTACCTTACTTCACTCAAATTAATTGCTCTATATTATATTTCATTAATTCCTACGTAATTTCCCCTTCATCTTTCCTTGTCAAACAGATAGTAAGATGCTTAAACACTTATGGTCCTTGAGCAGTATGGACAACAACAACAACACATGTTTAGACGGCATTTTCCCCGAGATCGGGGGTTGCCGTTTGGCTACCTATGATGAAACCGAAATACCCCTCGACGACGTCCACATCTGTCACTCGCCTCAGTATCACGCAACCCCGCTTTCACCCTGTCCTTCTCCACCTGCTCTCTCCATTCCAATCGCGGACGACCCCTTCCTACCACTCCTTCAACCTCGAACTCCAACGCTCGCCTAATCCCGACCCTTTCATCCCTTCCCAACACATGTCCATACCACCGCAATCTCGATCTCCTTATAAATGTCACAATGTTCTCATTCAGTCCCATCATTGACATCAGCTCTGTACTACTCCTCCTATCCTTTACTTTAACCCCACACATCATCCTCACCATAGCTCTTTCAGCCCTCTGCAGTACACTTTCCTCCTCTCTCCTCAACACCCAAGTTTCACCACCATATACCATCGCTGCTCTCACACATGCTTTATATACCCTCCCTTTCATCTTCACTGACCATTTCTTCCCACACAATACCCCACCCAGTTCCCTAAATTTCATCCATCCCACACGAACTCTAGCCGTAACTGCGCTCAAACATCCTCCATCCGCATTCAGCTTATCTGCTTGAGCAGTATGGAATGAATTTAAATTTCATTTACGTAAATTATAATATATATATATATATATATATATATATTATAATTTATAAAATCGATAGAAATTTACTATGACAAATTGAAAGATTTGAATACAAGTTGGAATTTATTACTTATTGTCAAAAATTCGGTCTTCTACCAGCATTATATATCATTATATATTTCATTTTATTTATATATATATGTATATATAAATATATATATATAGTTAAAATGGTAACCATCAACCTTAAAGATTGTTTAAAGTATTAAATTATAATATATAATAGAGAACATTGTTGAATTACGATGATGATGAAACATTGTGGAATATTTTGTTATTCAACTGATTTTTATTATAATCCGACACACTGCTTTTCGGTTTTGTGGTCATTTTTGTAAATTCAATATTGTCTAAGTTTCTTTCTCTTTCTCTCTGTCTTTCTCTCTCACTCTCTTTCTCTGTCTTTCTCACTCTCTCTTTCCGGGAATTGTCTCATATTGATGGTGAAATAGTTATCTATGAAAGAAAGGTGTATCTAATGTACCATTTTCAGTTTTCATACACAATTTATATCATGATATTAAAATACGAAAAGAAATTAATAAATAAATATATTATTAATATAACTAAGAAATGAACGAGACAAGGCAAATTCATTTATCTGAGTGTTATAGCCTAATATTCTAAGGTACATATATATAGAATATAACATGTTAAAATAAATATACGTGTATACATATATATATATAAATAGATTAATGATAAAAATTATGTTAAAATATGTTATAATTTTTAACATATATATATAGAATATGTACTTTATATATGTATATGTCTAAGTTAGTATCTATATTATGGATTAGACTTAACAACTGTTATATTGTGGAATGTTATATTTTCTTTGGACAATGTTTACAATCGAAAGGGTTGTGCAATCTTGAAGTTTACTGTATATAATAATCAAATCAAACGTATCTAATGTAAATTTAGACAAAATAAAAATGGCGTCATATTCGAATGATGTTGTTGAATCGTCTAACCTAAAAGCAGATGCTTCTTGTTTTGAAAGTAGGTCTCAATTTTTCACTGATACGTCGTTATTGTCGTCGATAAATGAGGAAATGTCATATCAGACAGCTGTTGATTCGAAATCAAGTGAAGAAAAAACGAACTCAAATTTGCAGAAATCGTCTGAAAAATCATCAAAAGGTTTTCAAGGTAAAGGTTATTATAACAGGAACTCTCACAACAATCGTCACCGGCTTAACAACACTAATGTTATGGTAAAAGGTGCCCCCACTAAAAACAGGGATGGTGTTAGGTGGGGTCATCAGGATAACGGTATCTTCAAAGAAAATGGTGGTTTGACAGCAAACATCAAAAAGCAAAATGGCCGATTTCCTCCTCGATTCAACAACGCAAATGCAGTAAACAGAAATATATATTCAGCAGATTCAAACTCTAGGCCTAGCAATTCTACTAATTGGAGGTCAAAACCTGATTTAGAATCTGTCCCCAGAGATGAAGATAACTTGAATGTAATTGATCAAGATCGTTTTGATGTTGCTGATATAAAAATTGTTACTTCAAATAATAATGCCAATGATAACAGCGATGGTACTTTTAACAAAAGCTCAAGTTCTGCCGCTAACAAAGGTACAACTAATTGGAAAAATTATCCAACCAAACGAGAGTATATAAATGGAAATGTTAGAAATTACAGAATTAATTCTCATTTCAATAGCCAACAATCTAGTAATCAAAACAACAAGATCATTGATAAAAGTATTAATGCTTATAATAACAATAATTATATAAAAGATGAAAATACTTTAAATTCCAATTCTCGTAAGTCTGATTTGACAGCAGTTGATGTTGCTAACTTAACAAACGATGTAGCCACTAACTTACATGCGAATCAAAAAGAGAATAGTTTGTTTGGGGCAAGACCGAAACAATACAAAGGTAGTAAATATAACAAAAACATGAGCATGGCTAACAGCAACAACTTGATTAGTAACAATTACAACAACAAAACCAATAGTGGCATTAAAAGAGACAACATTAACATCAAAAACGATGATAATAGTATTAACTTTCCGTTTAGAAAAGTTATTGACAATGAAAATTGGGATGAACTTGGTGGGGATTTTAACAAAGTTGATGATAACAATCTTTCTAGAAGTAATAAAAAAATTGTTGATGAAGATGATGATGAAGATGATGATTTAAAATCTTTACCCAGAGATAAATCTTTAAACATAATCAAAAGGCCAAATGATGAAAGCCAAAGAGGTGTATTTTTTTATTAAATTTTATCTTTAGTTGGTTACAACTTACTCTTGAATAACTATTTAAGTTTGAATTTTTTTTTTGTCATCATAAATTGAACTGAAATTTGTCAAATTTTCAAACTGACTGAATGAACATATCAGTAAAACATCATCAATCATTAATTCATCAAAAAACTAAGCCTTAAAACAACCAGACCCCACCTATCTAACAACCCACACAGGCTTACTAGAACAGCAACTAACAAACGCCACGTACGAATGCATGGTCTGCTGTTCTGCAATAAGAAAGGACGTTGCCATATGGCACTGCTCAACATGCTTCCACATCTACCATCTCTACTGTATCAAGAAATGGGCAAATACGTCATGCAGTAGCAATAGTATTCAAGAAAGTAGTAGTAGTAGTGACAACGGCAGAGAGTCTGCCAGAGGGAAAAATGAGAATGATGGCAAGGCCTGGAGATGCCCGGCTTGCCAGAATTTAAATTTGGTCCTTCCTGATAAGAATTATTGTTTCTGTGGTTAGTGGTGTGGCTCACTTTGTGTGTGTATGTGTGTGTGTGTGTGCGTCAGTGTGTGTGTGTGTTAATGTGTGTGTGTGCGTGCGGCGGGGATTTTATTTTTTGTTGTGGCTTTTTGTGATTTCAAGAGAGCGATATTGGATTTTAAATTTCAGGGAAAATGATTGACCCACCGTATTCTGGCTATTTCACACCTCACACCTGTGGAGATATGTGTGGTAAGAAGAGGAATGCCATCTGCAAACATCCGTGTAATGTTCCATGTCATCCAGGTTTCAATTCGTCTTCTTTTGAAATCGTTCATTCATAAGTTACCTGTTCAGTTAATTATTTATATTTACACTCGACTGTCCATTCATTGTTTAATAATTCGTTCATCCTCTCATTCACTAGGCCCATGTCCTCCGTGCACTGCGATGGTTAACGTTGCATGTGATTGTGGCAAGATGAAAGTTAATGTCAAATGTTCTACCGCTCAAAATATCAAGTTTGTTTGTCTGTCTGTCCAACTGTCTGTCTCTGTTTGAATGTCTCTTGTCAATATCAATTTATCAATAAACATTACTTTTCTTCTAATTATTGTCTTTGATATCATGATCATTGCTATTATTATCACAAGCAGATGTCAAGATGCGTGCAATCGAGTGCTCAATTGTGGACAGCATCATTGCGGCCAATCGTGTCACAAGCCCCCTTGCCATTCGTGTCAGGTCAAGGTCGAAAGGTCGTGCCACTGCGGGCAGCTTAACAAACAAGTTCTGTGTGGAAGTTCTGAATATTTTATCAGGTGTAGTTTTTGTCTTAATTTAAAATCAAAATATATTGCGTCACAATTAGTAATAATAATTATTAATTATAATAAATAATATTTATTAATTTATTATAGTTGTAATCATCCTGTTTCTATTTTTAGCTCGTACAGTTGTGGCCAACAATGCAACAAGCTATTGGACTGTGGTAACCATAAGTGTCTGTCAATTTGCCACGATGGGCCCTGCGACACCTGCAAACTCGTCCCTACTTTAGTAACACACTGCCCTTGTGGAAAAACCCAACTTGGAGATATTAAATGTGAAAGTGGGGATTTACAGGGTAAAAGGTCACAGAGAAAGATTAAAAATAAGGAAAATGACGATGATGACGGTGCTAATGATAATGATGATAATAGTAATAACAACAGTTTGAGAACATCTTGCTTGGATCGTGTACCTTGCTGTTGGAAGAAGTGCAACAAGGAGCTGGAGTGTGGCGAGCTAGGTGAGGACGACGATGTGATGATGATTGTGATGATGGTGCTCGTTATGATGTTGTAATGATGGTGATGGTAGTTTGATGATGCTGATGATGAATGTAAGGATTGTAACTAACAAAATTTATCATGATAACTGATTGAAACGTGCAGGCAGTTTCCACAAGTGCAAGAACACTTGCCACACTGGTCCATGCCCCGACTGCCCTGAAAGTATGTCCGTAGTGTGTCGATGTCAGGCCTCTAGCAAGCTTCTAACCTGTAAGGAGTTTGTCTTGTTGAAACGTCGTTCGTTGCCGGTCAAGTGCGACAATCGTTGCGGCAGTAAGATGTCTTGTGGCAGGCATAGATGCTGTCAGAACTGCTGTGTTGATCGTGAGCATGTCTGCAACGTTATCTGTGCACGTTAGTATCTTTCTGAATTTCATTTCAGTGATGTATTTGGAGTATTTGCTGGAGAATGTAGTTTTAAAATAGTTAAAATAATTCATCTACTTTAAAAACTACGCAGACAAACTTACCTGTGGCCTGCATAAATGTGAGGAAGTGTGCCACAAAGGCAGATGTCCGACGTGCTGGAGAGCAAGTTTTGAGGAGTTGACATGCGAATGTGGTTCAGAGGTCATCTACCCTCCTGTTCCCTGTGGCACTGCGCCCCCAATCTGTGTGAAGCCGTGCGCACGAGTTCATCCCTGCACCCACCCCGTACAGCACAAGTGTCACAGTGAACCGTCGTGCCCTCCTTGCGCTATTCTCACGCAAAAGTTGTGCATGTGTGGACGGGAGACTCGCGCAAATGTGCCCTGCTTCCTGCAGGATGTGTCCTGTGGCCGGCCCTGTGGCAAGCCCCTGCCCTGTCTAGTGCATAACTGTGCACAGCTCTGTCACAAGGTCTCCCTACTGTTGTTGCTGTTGGTTGTCATTGCTGCTGTTGAGTATCTTGTAATTGTTCAGTGGTGTTTATAAAAATTATTTAGATCAATTTAAATTCATCTTCAGCAGATTATTCAGTAATAATATAAGTTGTTATAATCTATATTACACGTTCCAAAAGTTATCTAGTACTTTAATTTTGCTACAACAGGCGCCTTGTCTGGATGGTGGAAAAATTAAATGCACCCAACCCTGCCCAGCTCCAAGGACGGCGTGTGGTCATCCCTGCATGGCCCCCTGTCATGTTGGACAGCCCTGCCCGCCCACCAAGTGCAAGGCTCAGGTTGTGATGAGATGTGAATGTGGGAGGAGAGAGGAGAAGATGATTTGCCTTACAGGTTTCTTTTCGGTTATATTATGTTATGCTATGTGTGTGTGTGAGTTGATTAGTTTGCTTGATGATTCAACCTCTAGAATATAATCTTTTTATGGATTTCTCTTTCTATATTTATGGTAATAAATTTGAGAAATGTTAATTTTTTTCTTACATTTTTCATTATTTCAGCATAGACCCGATTTCTAATAATCAATCTTATCTTTTATTTGCTATCTTTATCTTTTAACTATAATAATATTTTTAAGACCAAATTCCCAAACCCAAAAATCCAGACCAAAAACTCGAGACGAAAGACGATTACACGAGGGCCGCTGCCAACATCGTGGCCTCCCAATTATGGAACTCCCAATCCATTGACCTCGCCGTACTTAAGGATGTCAAAAATAAGAACAGGTTTGTCGCTAGTTCGTGTGTGCGTGTGCGTGTGTGTAGAGGTTTGTATGCATATTTATTTTTTACAATTGTATTATTGATTGTATATCAGATTGCCTTGCGACGATACGTGCGGTATTCAGAGACGAAACAAAGCACTGGCCGATGCCTTGAATATCGAAAATGCAAACATAACGAATCAACTTCCCGGTTTGACGTTTAGTGAATTTCTTCGAGATTTCTCTAGACAGAATTTGAAATTTGTCTCTGAAGTTGAAGATGTCTTTATCAAAATTATCAAAGAGGCTGAAAAGGTTAATTTGAAATTTAATTGTTTACTTGATTTGAATTAATATCTCAGTTTCTATTTTTCTGTAAGTTTGATGATAAAAGTGTAATAGTATGTAGGTAAAATGGAAGTTAAATATTTACAAATATATTACATTCCCAATAAAATTATCAGACAAAATTTATTTCTCAATATGAAACATGATATCCAAACACACACACGCACGCACGCACACGCGTATTCACGCTCACACAGTCAAAAGTTGGTCGAAAGATGCATTCCTTCAAAGTTATGCCATCAAACAAGAGGCGATTGATACACGAACTTGCAGAGTGCTACAGTATTGAGTCTGAAAGTATTGACGAAGAACCACACAGAAGCGTCATAGTCACTGCCACGAAGTCAGTAGCCTGTCTTTTAAATTAACTTTTAAATTATTATTAATGTCCTTATGTTTACTATGTGACAAAATAATCAAGATGTCATCAAAAAGCATAACCAAAATTTTAACCAAATACAGGAATGTCAGTCATCTACTAGCTAAGTCCTTAACGAGTTTGACAAAGCAAGGAACCCTTCCCAGGCCACCTCCCATTCCCATTCCTGCTAATTACGACGAAGACAAGTTGAAGTAAGTTGGGTTAATTTTGCCGTCAGGATTTTCTCATTATAATTTTTTGCTATTCCACCACATGTCTGCTCTTTGGATTGTGTAATTGGATAGAACTCAACCTGATTTGATATTTGTAGTTTGGCGTTTATGATTTAGCATAACCTGCCAGCAAAACTAGCATCATCATACTACTACCGCGATATATTCTATCCGATTTTAACTTCTAATCATGATATTGTTCAAGTATTCAATGACTTGAATAATTTTCAAAAATTTGGTCTACATAGATCCCTGGCTCAAGCATCTAAACAAGCCTCCGGTACAAAAACGAATGATGGTGATGACGAAGACGGAGAATGGAGAACAATTGGTAGCAGGCACAAAAAGACCGAACCTGTCATAGATTATTTTGATTTTTCGTCGTGATTTCTTTGATTTTGAAAAAATTAAAGACCTTTGTTTATTTTATTTGATTTTTTGGGTAAAGTTATTTATTCATAGTTAAATTTTTAGTTCCGTCACTTAAATTTTAGTAAGTAATGAATTTGAAGAAAGTTATTATAAATAAGTTGTAAAATAATGAGTCGTTTTTCATATTTTATTCTTTAAAACACAAAATATGTAATACAGAATTCGTATTTGTAGCAAGTAGATTTACACACACACACATACATACATACGTATATATATATAAGTATATATATAAACATATATGTTGATACATACGTATAGATATATATGTATATACATATACCAATGTGTACACTAAAAGTATACACCATCTTCATAACCACGGCTAACCCTTAGAAACTTAATCACTGATTAAATCTATACAGAAATTAATAAAAATTCATCACTTATCTCAATTGTCAATTAATTGGTTGATTAATTATATGATTAAATTTAAAAATTAATGTTTGTCCAATCACAAATTATGCAGCTAACAAAAAATTTGTTTTGGTTATAGTCGAACATATACTTACACATTTGGTACAACTGGGTATATATATATATATATATATATATATTTTTATGACCAACCGATATATATATATATATGTGCTGATAAAGGTCCGTAATTAATGGAGTAATGTAAATTACTACATATATACATCCGAATATATATGCTAATATTAGATAATTGATCAAGTATTAATATAGAAATAATAATAAAAAAAACAAGTAATGCAAAGTTAATTTAGAAAATTTCAATTTATTTATCCAGCGACCGTATTCAACTGTACGCAAGTGTAGTAATAATGAACATTAGTGTGCAAGTGCAAATTGAAACATTTGATTTGATCGCTGTAAAACTGGTGTAATGTGAATTTCATAATTTCAACTGGTAATTCTATTATTTATCAAACGTCTAAATAGTATTAGTAATTATGATAATAATAATATAATAAAAATAATAATTCACTACAGCACAAACAAATAGCTAACTTGTTACATAATAATGTAATGTTTTTGCATAACTAGCTCATATATACACACAAATAAATGTAGGTACCTTTCTCGATGAAAATTACTTCTTTTCAAATTCACAATTTTTAACATCTTTGGTAAGAGATCTTCTTAATTATGATTAAGTTATATTAATTTCTTCTGGAAAAACATACATGAGACATTTTTCCCGTAATTAATATACATGATTTTAATCAAATATACATAGCACAGTCTTTTTTCCTCAAACCTTATCTTCTGCATTACTAAAAACATTTGGTTAATTTAATAAGCATTACAAAATCATTAAATAGAAAAATTGACATTACTTAATGAAAATCTTTGTCATAAAAAAATCCTAAGCTAGGATTGAGAATGAGTTTTGTGTTAATAATAAATAAAAAAAGTTAAATTAGTTAAAAATACGTATAATGAATGTAATTTTTAAAACTGATCATTGATAGCCCCACCCTACGAAGCACCTGCCAACTTGCTCTGTTGGGGTCCAACTTTTTTATGTGGCACTGATTCTGGTGTTGGAATGGCTTCACCCGTCTCTAATAATAGTGGGGGTTTCGATCCTGGAATCATCTTTCCACCTGAACCGCCTGTTTTCGCTTTGGCCATGTTATAGTCACCGGAATCGAAGTACTTAGTCTAAATATTGTTGTTTTTCATGATTACGTATATGTTAGATTGGGGTACAGGTAAAATCTTACAAATAAATTCAATATTTATTACTTAAGAATATACAGAAACAACATACCCCTTTAGACAATCTCTTTTGTAGTAACTGTGATGAGCCTGCATTTTGTAATGACGGATACCTTGATTTCAATTTGGCCTCTTCCGCTTTTTCTTGTTCCTTTCTCTTCTAAAAAAAAGTTAGTTAAGACATTTTTTAATTTTTACAACCAAATCTTAAAAATTTAAACATATACAAACATAAATAGCTAAATAGCATACCCTTTCTATTTCGGCAGCTTCTTCCGGTGACGGTTCCGGGGCGTCTTCTTCATCTTCGTTATTTTCGGTTTCCTCCGGATTAATCTTGGATTCAGACTCGGTGCTTTCGGACATTTTTTAAAAATATAAATTTATTAACTCCACAAAAATCAACTTCAATTAATCACAAATATATTACGATAATTTTTATCGCGTAAGTATAAAAAAATTAAGTACGAATCATTTAGAGAAAAAAATTGAAGAAACTTGTACAAAATGTCTGAGCAAAAACTTTAAATAACCAAAGACTTTTTAATTAATCGTTAATACTCAAAATAGTATAGTAAAGTAAAAGTATCTATAGAATGGTTAATCTGTAGACTAGAAGTAAATGATCCTAAATGTGATTATATATATATATATATATATATATATATATATTATTACTAAAAAGTTATTACGATTATTATTATAATATTGTATTATTGTACTATAATTTTAATAAAAAAAGTTTTGCTTTCATATCTAATCAGACAGAAAGCCTTTTAAGTGTGTAAACTTTGAATAATGCTCGACCGAGCCTATCTCAATTTCATGTTAATAAGTTAGTACACACCACACACACACTCACTCGCACACTCACAAACACACGCGCACACAAACACACGCACACACAAACACAAACATAGAGTGCTTGCTTACTTACTAACTCGTTAATGACTTAAAAATTACTTTTTATTAACTTACGACAAAGGAAAACCTTTTTTCATATGAAACTAGTATACTACTACTAATACTACTACTACTACTACTGCTGCTGCTGCTACTACGACTACTAATACTACTACTAATACTACTACTACTACTACCGATAGTTATTTTATGTTAACTGGTGACTTTTATATTTATTATTTTGGACAAGAGAACCAAAAATTTTTTCAATCCGTTTGCTTCTTTATAACAATTTTTTTTCATTTCATTTTCATTTTTTCAAATGTTCATGGAATGTTTCAATTAAATATTTAAGAGAAAAAAAGAACATTCACATCACTATTTTTATTTATGACGTAACTAAATGCGTAAAAGCAGATGATTTTTTCAACGCCATTTCATTATACGCTTCCGTTTTATTGTGGCGGAAAAAGTTTATTATTATTATTATTATTATTACAATGCCTATTATTATTGTTATTATTACTATTATTGTTGTTGTTGTTGTAATTGTTGTCAATTTCCGAATCATCACCATCATTGTTATTGTTATTATTACTATTGTTGATGTCGTTACCATTGTTGTCATTTGCGTCATCGCTGACGTAATTATTATTATTTTTGTTGCTGTTGTTGTTGTTTTTTGTGTTGCTATCAAATAGAAAAATTTTATTTAGCAGCGGTGAGGCGGGTGTCAAAAAGACCAAGTTAGGACTGGCCGATCTACTATGCCAATCATACTTATTATTATTGTTGTTGTTGTTGTTGTTGTTGTTGTTGTCGTCGTTGTAAATGTTATTATTGTTTTTCGAAGACGATGATGCTGGCGATGGTGATGTAGAAACCTTTGAAATTTTCCGCTCGATATCAAGTTTATTAATATTAACGTTGTTATTATTATTCCTATTGATGTTGAAGCTTTTATTATTATTATTATTATTATTATTACTGCAGTCATTAATATCATTAGTGGATAAGTTATTACTCATATTTTCGTTAGACGACGACGACTGCAAACTTTTATTCACTGCTAAAGTAGTCGCGCTAGTAACGTTTGATGTCGCCGAAGAAAGTGGCGATAGTTGTTGTTGTGGGGACTGCCATTTAGGGTTTATGCAGGTGCTAAAAGAAAGTTTCACCGGAGTTGTAGTTGTTGGAGTTCTTTTGACCATACTATTTCTCGCCGAATTTGGCGAAGTTTTGAAGTTTATAAGAGACCTCAAAGAAATATTTAGGGTCGCTGGTTTCAAAGCTGTATTAATGATTATTATCATTATTGTTGTTGTTATTATTATTATTATTATTATTATTACAAAAAAGAATTAATAACAGTAAAAATATTTTTTTTGTTTAATTTTATTATTTAACATTTATTTGTTTCATTATTTACCTTCTGTTGGCGATAATAAATTAGAAGTTGCTGACGTTGTCGATGACGTAATTATGGCTGTTGTAGTTGCTGCTGCTGCTGCTGCAGGCTTTACTGGGGTGGTCGGTCTAGGAATGGATAAAGATTTTCCTAAAAATTTAAAAATATAGTTTATTTTCAATAATTAACATAATTTATTTAAAAAATTTTGAGCTATTATATTTTTAAATGAGCATTAACAAACAAACAAACAAACAAACAAACATACATGCATACATACATACATACATACATACATACATACATACATACAACAATGTTGGTAATAGACCATAATTTTTACAATATTCTATAAATTCTACCGAATGTTTGGCGTTAATATGTTTGTAGTTCGTTTTTTCGATTTTTCTCACTAAAGATTTTTGGTGAACGTTTAGTTTATTAAAATTCAAAATAAACTTATTTTTCGAATTCATGCTGCAAATAAGGCCATATTTCGATTCCGAATGAATCAACGTCAGTGCTCCTTGTTGTATATATAGGGAAATATTGACTTTGTCAAGATTAACTTTGACGTTGTAAAAACTAACTTTGGTGTTGTAAAATTGAACTTTGATGCGAATTAGGTGTCAACCTAACCCTAATTCAAAAATAAGTTTATTTTGAATTTTAATAAACTAAACGTCACTAAAAAACTTTAGTGAGAAAAATCGAAAAAACGAACTACAAACATATTAACGCCAAACATTCGGTAGAATTTATAGAATATTGTAAACATACAACAATACAAACAAACCAACAAACAAATAAATGAACAGAACAATACCTCTTTCAAACAAACTCGTAGAGTATGCTGCGGAATATTTTAAAAATTTTTAATAAATGAATATTAATAAATATTAATTAATTAATTAATAATAATATAATTTTTATCTTATAATATCAAGAAAATATCTTTTTAAAAATTATTAAAAAAACTGAATAAAATAGAGCAACGTACAACTACAGAAAGGGAGTAGTTCTTGTAGAGCGTTCCGATCCAACCCTGTTAAAGATAAAAGATTTAAGATTTAATTTAAAGATTTAAAGACGTTAGATTTAATTTGATTTAACGTTTAAGATGCCTGACACTGCACACACACACACACACACACACACACACACACACACACACACACACACACACAAACACACACACAATCTATACTTATCCATTTTTGTCATCATCATTATCTTTTTCTTAATTCTCTTCATTATAAAACTTGGCTACTCGTTTGCCTCTCTCACTAAAACTGCTGCTTGGACTGCTACTACTACTACTACTACAACAACAACAACAACTACTACTACTACTACTACTACTATAAAAACGCCCTAAAATGTGTTAGCAGTCATGATGTTGATGATGATAAAAATGCCTATGTGAATGTGCGCGCGTGATTTGTTTAGTTATATTTTCAACAGTACGGCAATAACGAATGGCTCTGGTGATCCGAACAGTGAATGAAAATAATGATTGATGAAGATGATGAAAAAAGACGATGATAATAACAATGATGACCCAGACGTTGACTGGGATGATGACTGGGATGATGACGCCAGTGATGATAATGAGGCCATTGTTAACGAGAAAGTTATTCTCGAAATAATGACAAAATGGACGATGATGACGACGACGACGATGTGGATGCTGTGAGTTATGATAGCAGTTGTTCGGGATGGCAGATGATTTATTAAGGAGAGATATTCTAAATTGAAAAAATTTGCAAATTTCTACACAGGAAGCCATCCTACCTTTAGGATTTTAAACGCATTTTAAATTAAAATTTTTTTCATTTCTTCATAAAAAAAAAATTAATTTTAATTTTTTACATAAATAAATTAAATAGACGCTAAAAAATTTGTAAAATTTAATGCCAATCAGAAAAGGAGGAGGTAGGTCAAACAAAGGTCACAAGTTTGCTGACCCCTTATCAAAATTAAAAGTCTAAATTATACATACAATAAAGTTTTCACCGAACACAGCAAAGAAAATGTAATTATAAGTGGCATTTGCAATTGAAATTATTGTCATAATTATCATCATAAATATAATTTTTGTTAATATTTTCACCGTCGTCATAATAATATTTGTACTCATCTGAATCACCGTCCTCATCATCATCTTCATCACATGGATTTGAATAAAAAAATCTTAAGTCAAACATAATATAAATACTAATGAACCAACCGACTGACCAACCTTTAAATGAACTGTACACTTGTGCCTCATTTCTTCGTGGCTCGTGCTGCTGCTGCTGCCGCTGATTGTGATAACGCCCGGTGACCCGTACGAAAGCACCTCCTTGACCTCTTGAACCCATTTTCGGCCGCACAGCCTCAACTGGCAAGACCCTTCTTCTTCGTTTAGGCAGTTTGGCCCTGGCTTGGGTGTGGGAATAAAAAAGGGCGAAATTGCTGACGATCACAGGAACGGGTAGTGCGATAGTTAAAACTCCAGTTAGGGCACAGACTGATCCCACCAACATGCCGAGGTAGGTTTTGGGGGTCATATCCCCGTACCCCACTGTTGTCATGGTGACGATGGCCCACCATAGGCCCACTGGTATGGAGGTGAAATCGTTTTGTTTGTTGGGCTGCGTGCGTTCGGCGTAAAAGACCAGAGATGCGAAGACGACGATGAAGAGGACGAGGAAGAAGACAAGGAGGCTGAGTTCGTGAGCACTGGCTTTGAACGTGTGAATCAGGATTTTCAAACCTGGTGAGTGTCTGTTTGTTCGTTCGTTTGTCTGTTTGTTTGTTTGTTCGTTCGTTCGTCTGTCTGTATGTTTGTTTGTTTTATCGTTAATATTTGTGCAAAATGGTTAGCGTTTTTAGAACTCTCATATAATTATCAACCTTTTCAAAATCATCATTCAAACACAACTTATATCACCAGCATTCATCATTGTCTATTAACCTACCAGAAATTAACCAACAATTTAAAATTAACCAATCACATTCGCCCTCTCTAGTTAACCAATTACATTTGGCTGACCAATTTTAAGTTTAACCAATCACAATCACTCTTTCAACTGACCTAGTCAACTTAAATAGCCTCATAACTCTAATAATGCTGAAAACTTCGAGTGTCCAGTTTTTACTGCCCAGGTGCATGGTGACGAGGTCAGCGTAAAAAGATAGGGTGGCAATAAGGTCAATGACATTTACTGGGGTCATCATAAAGGTCATTCGCCGCCTAGCTACCAAGAATCTGCATTAATTTATTTATTGAATTATTATATATTAAAATTTATTTAATAATTAATTTTGTTATTTTATTATATTTTTCTTCCTTTTCTAATTACTTTAATATGAATATTTAATTTAAGGCGTAATTGTAATTAGTAAATGTTAACAACAATAATCAGTCATAATTCGTAACTCAACCATAATCCATGATTCAGTCATAATCCATAATTCAATCCTAATTCATGATTCGTAATCAAATCATAATTCATAATTAAATCATAATAATTAATAATTATTATTACAAACCTGACTATAAATTCAAAAGTGAACCAAACATTGCAGACGCAGTCGACA